CATCAGCAAAGCAGGCCTCAAGCTCAATAGGTCCAAATGCAAATTTAGACAAACTGAACTCTCCTTTCTGGGGCACACAATTTCACAGGCTGGACTAAAACCTGATCCAGATCATATCCTGGCAATTTCAAATGCTCCTCCTCCAACAGATTTGCAAACCTTACGTTCCTTCTTGGGTCTTACCTCCTGGTATGCAAAATTCATTCCCAATTATGCTTCTGTCACTGAACCATTACGAGAATTACTACGGAGAAGTTCAAACTTAGTGTGGACAACGGATGCACAAGTTAGTTTCGAAAGGGTGAAAGACTTGATTGTACATAGTCCAGTACTTGCATTATTCAGTCCCGCATTGCCCACAATTGTAAATACTGATGCTTCTGATTATGGACTTGGGGCTGTCCTCACACAACTTCATGAGGACAACACTGAGAGGACTGTTGCATTTGCTTCAAGAACACTAAGTAATGCTGAGAGAAAATATTCTACTGTTGAAAAAGAATCACTTGCTTGTGTCTGGGCTACTGAAAAATGGAGAACTTACCTGTGGGGCCGCACGTTCAAGTTGCGCACAGACCACAGCCCTTTGACGACGTTGCTCACCATGAAAGGACTGGGAAGAGCAGGATATCGTATTGCTAGATGGTCTACAAGACTACTCTCTTTCAATTATGAACTGGAATATAAGCCTGGAAACGAAAATGTGGTAGCTAATTGCCTTTCTCGCCTGCCTTTGCCTTCACCAGATGGTCCACCAGAGGATGAGGATGTAGTAGTTGCGCTTATTACAAGCACTCTTACTGCAGTTACAAGAGAACAATTTCAAGCTGCTTGTTCAGCGTGTCCAATTCAACAAAAACTATGGGAATTTCTGACAAAGAGATGGCCCAGTAACCCTAAAAACCTTGACCCAGTTTTGCTGCCTTATTTTAGAGTTCGGGATGAACTTTCTTTGCTCGATGGCTGTGTGCTACGAGGTAGACACCGGCTACTTGTGCCAGAAGAATTACAGTCAAAACTCATACACCTGGCACACGATACTCATCAAGGAATTGTCAGAACCAAACAACGACTACGGGATCTGTATTGGTGGCCAGGGATGGACTCTCAAACTGAAGCACTCATAAAATCCTGTGTCACTTGCCAAATTCATGATAAGACAGCAGTGACATGTAACCCTACATTACAGCCTGTTCCTCTTCCTGAATCTGCATGGGAAAAAGTGGCGATTGACATTGTAGGACCCTTTGACACTGCTCCAATTGACTGCCGTTATGCCATCACTTTAATAGACTAGTTCAGCAAATGGCCTGAGGTAGCGTTTACATCGCAAATTTCTTCTGCTACAGTAATTAAGTTTCTCTCTTCAGTTTTTAGCCGGGAAGGTAACCCCAAAGAACTGGTTTCAGATAATGGTAGTCAATTTACTTCCCTGGAGTTTGAAACTTTTCTAGCAGAGAGGAACATTTTACACAGGAGGTCATCCCTATATTACCCTCAAGCCAACGGAGAAATCGAACGGTTTAACAGAAGTTTGAAAGAGAGTTTGCAAACAGCTAAACTGGAAGGGCGATTGTGGATACCCTTCACTACTGATTTCTTGCAAGCATACCGGACTACACGACATGCCACAATGCAAAGATCACCCGCAGAGTTACTTCATGGGAAACAGATGACTACTAAACTGAACATTGCTGGATTGTTAAAGGCATGACCTGATGCCCCAAACAAGGATGATGTGAGAAAGACAGTTGAACAGAACCAAGCAAAGTCTAAGGCTTTCACAGACAAACGGCGGGGTGCTAAGAAACCAAAGTTTGAGTGTGGTTCCTTTGTTAGAATACGAAAACCTGGAATCTTACGCAAAGGGGACCATAAATTCACAGCTCCTCTTAAAATCATAGAGAAGAAGGGACCTTACACCTATTGACTTTCTGAGGGGGGGGGGTATGGAATGCTTCTTATCTTGCACCTGCCTATGCACCAAGAGGAGATTATGCCAATACCCAGTCTGCATTGGATGACTTCACTGTAGAACCAACACAAAAAGACATTACACTGGAACCGGGGCTTGAGAGACGGCCTGTCAGACTCAGACGACCACCTGCCTGGACTAAAGACTATGTTATGTAGTATCTACAGTGTTTTCAGTGTAATATTCCTGCCAACAGTATAGTGTCTTGTTTCATATTTGTTCCTGGGGTTAGAACAACAATGTTTATTTTAATTTGGAAAGTTTCTTAAGACAGGAGGGAATGTGGTGTTTAGATGCTGCTTGTAATTATTAGAACTGGGAGCACTGGCTGTTGGGAGTCTGAAAGGACAGGAAACAGGAAGGAGGGGGAGGAGGTGAGGAGGCTGGGAGAGTTACAGGGTGTGCAGCTACAGCTTGGAGAAGAGACTTGCACTGTAAATAAAGTTCTGTTGAAGTTGTTAATACTTTGCCTGGTGGATACAACACTTGTGTACCTCACCCCGCCATTGCTCCAGAAGGGCACTGTCGTTTTAATTTTTCATTCTTCTCCTGCAGCTCTGAACTGCTGTTTTATTGCTGAAAAAGGATCCAGAGTCTCTCCCCGCTCTCCTGGGTCTGGCTGCCCCTGCCACAGCCATGACCGAGACATTGAACTTTATAAAAACACTGAGATAACCAAAGGGTTAAATGCTAAATAACAAAGCCAAACAACACTAGCTACCTGTGTTTGGCAAAAAGTGTCTATCAGGGTTGCAACTTTGAATGAAAGATGCAAATGGATTTTTAGTGGCATTTTTAAAAAGCCAATTCATTTTAAACATAGCAAATAGGGTTTTGATAGAATAGAAGTGTTGCTTTAGGTCCTTAAAACCTTACACAAATATAGTTTCACATTTAAAAAAAAAAAGTTTGCTTAACATCCCTGGCCCTGCTCTAATTATTTTTACACAGTTGTTCCCAGATTACATGCCCTTCTTGTACATTCAGAGGCAGTCAAGTTCCAATGGAAAACCCTGATTTCCTTTTAGTGACTTTGACTAAATCATCCATAGTAAATGATTCAAATCAGACTGTCTCTCTGCCTGCAGCTGCCATTTACAATTGTTTATTTACAGGCGATTCCTTTCGGAAAAGGCCCCATTTTCCTTCAGAACAGCTGTAAAGATTCCTAAAAACAAAAGCATAGTGATGGTAATTTCCAACCTCCCCTCTCCCCAACCTCTCCACTCCCCTCCCGCATAATTTGTTTGACTGCCAGGGCTCCACCCGGCATGACTGTACCGAGTTGTACTGCCATAACTAGGTTTTATTATCAAACCAAGCATTCTCTTCTTATAATACTTTCACTCTACCATTTCCACAACCCCCGAAGCTTTAATTCCCTCCAAACTCTGTAGTGTTAACTGGTGCAAACGCTCCTTTTAACTCCTCACTCTTGTTCCTTAAATCACTTACTTATCTCCCACAGAGACACACAGTCACCGGACGATTTCACTCAGCGGCACTGAACTTATTTCTGGGCTTTTTTGCACTCATACGGCAAGGTGGTGCTCTTTGCCCGGACAGACTTAGCCACCACGTACAGTCCCTGAAACACAGCTGCCTTAGTCTGTGGTTTCTTTACCTTCAGATTGCTTAAGAAGGCAGTATTGATATTTGTCTCCAGGGTCACCCAAAGGTCTTATTCTTTAAAACTTCAGCGGCATTTAATGGACCGCTGTTGTGCTCTGCCAATAATGTATCTATTTACAGCAGTCACCAGACCTTTGCAGGGCTCTTTATGGCATTCAGCAGACCTCGGCCATGCTCTGCCAGGCATTCTTTTACAGTGGTATCCAAAGTCCCTCCCTCTGTTCCCCTGGTGTTACTGAATTTCTCTTTAGGAAAGAATTCTATACTGGCCCCCGAGGATAGATCGCTACCCCTTCACTCTGGGGGTTTACAGCACCTGACATTCATGTCCGCGGTCCCTTCATGGCTCACCAAAATGTTGGAATAATGAATAATAATATGAGAAATCACCAAACACGAATTTAACCATAAATTCCTTTATTAAATCCAAAGCCCAAATGGTACTTTATGCAGTTGCTCTGAACATGTCTAACAGCCTACAAATAAGCAGTCACCGCAACCAATATAGTAACAGAGTATTCTTAAGTTTGTGAGCAGTATACTTACAAATAGGCCAAACCTCGGGATGACTATTTCATTCTGGCATATTCCAGCATGATCAAGTAGGGTCTGACCAAGAACCTACAGTTTCATGGCTCTCTTTATACTCTTCAGCTAACTTGTTAGTTTTAGCAAAAACCCAGTCTGAAGCAGTTTAATCCTTGCTAATTCCCTTCCTCCAAGGCCTTCCTTTCTTATTTCTCTCCCCATCCTTGCTTGCTTTGGGCTTGTTTCTTTGAAGACAGTTTCCCTTTGTCTTGTTAATGCAGCTCTTTATTTTATTAGTTAGTTTTGGAATCATACATCTTTCCCACACTCCAAGTAACATTAGTTATTATTCTCACGGCTTTCTTTTACTTGCTGGTTGGGGCCTTCTCCCTACTAGCCACAAATGATAAAGCAAATCTGTTATTTTCTTAACCAAACATAAGCTAACTCTAATTTTCTAATTGCACATTTATCCTACACAGTGGAGCATGTCTAGCAAGCATAATAAATGCATTAGAAGCTTGCCAACATTTGGGATTGTGTGTGCGCACACGCATGCACATCACAAAATATGCATTTTGTACTTAATATTGAGCAACATGAACTTTTAGATACATGGGAACAGATCTTAATCAACGTCAATGGAGCTACATTTATTTACGCCAGCTTGAAATCTTTCACAATAAAAATCCTGAAGGAAGTGAGATATAATGAATGTAACTGCATGCTGGAATAAAAAAGGACCCCATGGGGCTTTAAATCCTCTTAAAATTATACAGAAACTTGAAAATTCTCAGGGTCGCATTGGCAACAAGAGAAATTCTAGTGTAGAGAAGAGAATACCTGATTACTTTTCTATCTGCAGACTCGTAGGCGAAGATCAACTCCCTCCTCCCCCCAAAACACACAGGAGAGAAGTTGGAAATCAGCATTATCTGTGAGTATTGAGCTAATAATTCTAATGAAAGTCTCTGGTCCTTTACCAGCTACAAGTAAATACAAGTAGTGTATCATAATGTATATTTTCTAATGAATGGACTACTAGATGTAACATTTTATTTCAACATGTGAAATAATATTTACAGCCCATGCCAGATGTTCCAGGATTCAAACCCCACCATCCACTTCACCACTCTTCAGCGTTAGTGGGTCACTACTGTAGGTGTGGTGACAGCAGAAAGCTATGGTTGCAATGTACAGCAGAATGGAATTGACTTGATTTGGGGAGAGGATACATTTATGCAATACCTGGAGCTCCATTATAAGACATATTGGCTCTGGATAGATGAGAGAGAACAATCAACTGGCTTCTCATTCACTGCAGAAGAATCACTGCTGTAGCTTAATTTTTGTACAACAGAAATTCATGTGTTTTTTTTTCTTCCAATAGGCTATTTGATTATAACTATGACATATTTTAACTAAACAGTATTGTTCTTCTAAAAGCTATAATTTACTTAAGGCTACAGTGAGATATCTTACCTAACAGCTCAAAATTCTCAAGGTAAGGGGAATAAAAAAAAAAAGCAGTTGGAATGATTGGATAATGTGAACAATGCACCTATTTTGTGTAAATCAGCAGTAAATAGAGTAACTCTGTGATGTGACAGGTCAGAATTTGACAGGACAGTTCCTTGCATCCTGATCGCTTTCTAAATGCAGTTCTTGGGTGTTTATCTCTCACTCTTGAGCTGCATAAAATAAGAATTGGAGCAGACCCATACATGGAGTTGTATCGTGTTCAAAATGAAACTCCCACAAAATACACATCAGGAATATTCCTTAGCTCATCTACTTTTATTGTAGGTTCTATCGATCCACCAGCAGATTTTTTTTTAAATGGTTTCATACCGAACCAGTAGGGAGCACATGTTATAAATTATCATTGTAAATCCATAGAGACTAATGGAGTTACTCTGGATTTACGGTGACATAATCAAGAACAGAATTTAACTCTTAACTGGAATCTTAGCACACACACACACACACAAAATTCACAGAATCATGAGAACTCAGAGAGAGACAAAAGAAATTGAAGCCAATTACTTCAGTCACATGTCACTGCAGAATTGTCCCCTGATGTACATTTTCCAGTTCCTCCCCACCTCTAATTTAAAATACTCGTTAGAAGAGTGGAAATCAATGTTAATTTTACTTTAATAGCATATTTATGTATTAAAGGACGAACTGTTGGCCTGAGTAACTATCATGAATTCAAGAGACTTACTCTAGATTTACTCCCATGTAACCTATATCAGAATGTGCCCCTGTGAGCGCATTTTTCAACATAAGATTTCATGTCATTACCTTATAGTATCGTAGACTGCAATGAAAACCGCTGTAAGTCTGCAGTTTCATTAAAAACATTCAAAACCAACTCTGTCGGCCTCAATTTTTCAATGGGTCAGATCTCACTTTAGCTTTCCTTTGAGCACTAGATGGAGTCATCAAATTTTAGTTTACACCTTGCAGGTTGTACAGAATTCTCTGTCCATTTGGGTGTGGCAGGTCGTTGCTGAGGGAGTAGAAGAGAGGCTCATCTTGTTCTTTATTAATATATTTGTTTATAAGAATATAAAGACCAAATCATACAAGACTCTTGGGCAAAATAAGCTGATTTCCCCATCCTCCAGCAGCAAGCATACTACTAATATCATGGCAAGAAAGCCGGGATACATTACATAGCTATTTTGATAGATGAGCCAGTAATTTGGAAGCCAGGCTGTGATCCTGCATCATTTAAGTCAATGAGAACAGGATCTGGCCCTTAATAATTCCATGACCCTTCCTGAGATTAATCATGAACTCTGTCTATTACATGCCATGCTGCTGTGGGCAGGTTTCCTACTGATTTCCTTATGCTTGCCCTTTATCACACATGACACGCTAGGAAGAATGAACGGCTGTTCTCTGAGCGATGTTTGTGACATCTCCAGTAGGCCACTCTTGGCCGACTCGCTTCTTGATGGACACAGGCCTAACGAATCTGAGTATAAGCACCACCTCTGGCCCGCCCACTCTCCAGACCTCCCAGCAAGAGTGCCGCTTTTGGATATGCTGGAAGACCAGGTAGGCATAGCTTTAATGCAGCCTTCTTCTGAGGATGAAGTTCAGGCCAGGGCAGTGGAAGGGCACGTCCAAACAAATGTCACACTCTCCTCTCCCTTTGCCTCGCTACCCGCACAGAGAACTGGGGCAATTTCTCCTCTCAGTTAGGTCCATGAAAATCCAGAGCAATTCCACTCAATTCAGTGGAGTCCCCCAGATTTACACCTGCATAGTGGAGAGCAGAATTTGTCCCATAAGATAATTGTGTTTAAATTAATTGACTGTCCCCTTAAGCGTTTCAGAACACATGAACTGATAAACAACATAATGACTAGGCCCTATTGGCGTTCACACACACTCTCTTACATTTAGAACTCCGCATCTCACTGAGGCTTAAAGGATTAATCTATAGCCCAGGGCAAGTGTTCCTTCGAACAGAGAGAGGAAACTAGTGAAAGCTGCCCTAATCATGTTTTTCACCACAGGGCAGGTTCTGCATAGACAGTAAGCACCAATAAAGTTTAAATTTCACTATTAATTTAGGACCCTATTCAACAAAACACTTAAATCCCTTCTTGGCGTCAATGGAATAAGCCCATTCTTAAACTCCTTACTGAATAGGAATGGATTCATGCATGTACAGACAGTTAACTATGTGCTGTCTTGAATTTCGGCCTTAAGCATGTACTATTTTCATCTCTACTATACGACTTACCTGACCAGGTACGCAGACCCTTCTTCGTAGGGACATTATGTTCCCTACTGTGTAACATTTCCAAATTACTTTGCTGTAAACCATCTCAGTTAGCTTTCCAGCGGCAAACCATTGTACAGGCAATCATAAAATCTGAGTTTTACAGCCTCTTTGGTACATGCCTCGGTTTTGCTGCCAAGCAGTGTGGCGTCTTTGTATTTCTCCGTGTGTTTTAAAAAACCCGTCCTGGACAGACCATTTCATTTACCAAGTGTTTACAGCATGATCTCTTTCAGATAAACCGCTCGTGTTTCAGTTTGTCATTTGGGTCCTGCAAGGGACATCCCAGGTGATGTTCGTCAATAACCCTATCAGTAGGCTTATCGTGTACACAAATACCTAGTTACTCAATCAGAATGCAAGGAAGCATGTGAGGTATGCTAAGCGCTGAATACATATTACATTTTTCTGCCAAACCCAAAACACACTTTCTATTGGTTTTATGAATTAGCCAATTTTTTTCTGCATAATAATTAACAGGGGAAAAAATCATTCTTTTGTTTAAATGTTGAGTCATTTGTCTGTACATTCAACCATTGCCCACAAGCACTTTTCCTGGATGGAAAATTCTGATACTTGATTTTTTATACTGGAAGTGGCCAAGTACACCTCCATTCTGAAATGAAAGATTTAAAAAATAATAAAAGTACAAAGCATTTGTTGCAGTGATTATGCCTAGGAAAGTGAGGAAGGTGGGAAGGTTAAACAAAAAACAAAAATGAGTAACAGAACCATGGAGATAAGTATGTACAGGCCTTGCTGCACTGAGTAACCACATGATCTCATTATTGTCATCGTTTTCTTCCTTTTTGCTCCCCTTACTTGTCTGTTGATCCCCCTTATTTATTGGGTCACGCACCTGAAGTAAGATTGTACGCTCTTCTGGGCAGGGGTCACATCTGCACTTGTTTGGGTGCGGCACCTACACTAGCATAGTTTTGGTTTTTCAAAAAATAAAGTGATTTTTGTATGTCTGGGCAAAAAATGATTTTTATATTTTTTTCAAAGTTGTGCATGGAGCATGAGTTCTATCCCTACTGCCGCCATGAAGCGCCAAGTGACCCTAATGTTCAGCATAGTGTTAACTGTTAAGCCCTAAATGGCTATAGACTTATTATAATCTTTGTGTGTAAAATATAATGTCATATTTAAATTATCTACTCATAGTCTTACCAGTGGGGGTGCCCTAGTACATTTTGCTTCCTGTGTAGGCAATAGTCCACCAATCAGAACAGATGTAGTTTTAGTTTGCCATTCACTGCAATGTCTTCTTTTCCTCAACAATTGGCCTGGGTGGGTCCTATCGCGCCAAATAGTGAGTGAATTCCGATGAAAGCTTTGGGGATTTTGAGCTCATGGTGCTAAATTGGGAATTGCTCCCTAAGCACTTGAGACAAGTTTTTCAAAAATAGTGTGTGTGATTAGGATCCTACATTCATACGGTCTTTCCGATGACTTCAACAGGCCTCGGATCAGGCCCTTAGTCTCTTAAATAAGTGCTGAGCACTTTTGAAAATCAGGCATTCAGGCCCAGAACCGCAAAGGCATTTAGATGCCCAACTCCCATTGATCTCCATGGGAACTAGGCACCTACCTATCTTTGAGGCTCTGCACCTAAGACCCTAATTCAGACAAACATATAAGAACAAGCTTATCTTTAAGCAAGGGAGTAGTGGTGTGAGGGACTATGCATGTGCTTAAAGTTAAGCCTGTGTTTTTGTGCTTTGCTGTATTTGACCTCATTTAAGTGATTAAATATGGACATGTGGTCCTACCTTTAAGCACTCACTTTTGATGGCTGGAAGAAACAGCTAGACAAATTCAAACCAAAAATAAGGTGAAAAAAATGTTAACAGTGAGTGTACATATCCATTGGAACAGCTTCCCAAGGGATGTGGTGGATTCTCCATAACATGGAGTTTTGGGACTAAATCTTGGCTCCACTGACGTCAGTGGCAAAACTCCCATTGGCTTCAATAGGGCCATGGTTTCACCCTTTAAATCAAGAATTGATTTAGTTCTAGAAGGTAGGTTGTAGCTGAACCACATGTTATTACTGAGTGAAACTATGGCCCGGATTACGCCTCAGGTCATTCTAGATGACCATGGTTCCTTCTGGCCTTCAGATTTATGAAACTATGAAAATCTTGACCTTGGGTATTGGGGTGAGGGGCAATACAGAGAACCTGACAGAGATTGAAGACATGACCTTCTCATCCAATGAAGAGCGATACTTTAAAGAAAAGCAGATAGTTCCATAATAGACCACCTTCTCTCTAATTGCTCCCAGTTTCAGAGTGCAATAAATACTAAGTGGCAGAGGGAATAATTGGGGCATCGTAATGCATTGTCTCCTTTCCTGAATTCCTTCAAAGGCTCTGAAAGCACCCATGGAGGGTGTTGAAGTCAAGATAGAAACGAAAGGGGAAAGGAAGACACAAAACCAGACTCCAGTGAGAAAATGTGGGAAGCGAGTCTGCAAAGCCGTGGGCTATATCACAGGAGACATGAAACAGTTTGGAGTCTGGCTTCAAGGTAAGCCCATTTCAACTGAGCCAATTAGAGTATATCAGAAAAGCACTGTGGCTAATAAATAGCGACCAGCGTGTTCCATCTGTGTTAACTAATTCAAGGATGATCTGGTTCAATAAACTGCAGAATAGAAATGATAATACTGAACCATTCCTACATTGTAGGGAAAATGCCCCCTTGTGCAAAGAGCCAGCCCAAAGCTCATCCACCACCCAAGTCCAGAGGGTGCATAAGCTGAAATTCACCCCATGTGCTGGCCCCTCTGCAAAGGAGTGAATTTCATCTTGTGAGCATAACACAGGATGTTTATTTCAATGTTGTGTCGTTCCTTATCATGCTCCCCTTTCTTTCCACAGACTAAGTTTATCATGCCCAAATGCCAGTGTGAAGTTAAATCATTCAGCCATGGGTTTTGATCGCTCAATAAATCAGCAGCGAGATACTCACCTAATCTGCCATCCGAGATGCAGACATCCTAAGTAAGCCAGTTTGTATGAATCTGGCCCTGTATGCTTTAGAATAGGGAACTCTAACAGCTGCGCTATTCGTCTCCATTAGTCTTCCAGCTGCAAACCATTGTACAGGCAATCATAAAATCTGAGTCGAGTTTTACAGCCTCGTCGATAACGTGCCTTGGTTTTGCTGCCAAGCAGTGTGGCATCCTTGCATTTCTCCGTGCGTTTCCAGAAAACTGTCCTGGACAGACCATCTCATTTACCAAGTGTTTACAATGTGATCTCTTTCAGGTAAACCACTCCCATTTCAGTTTGTCGACTGGGTCCTGCGAGGGATATCCCAGGTGATGTTCGTCAATAACCCTCTCAGTGGGCTTATCATGATTGTTGGGTTCCTGGTCCAGAATCGTTGGTGGACGATCACAGGCTGTTTAGGAACAGTTGTCTCAACATTAACAGCACTTCTTCTGAATCAAGACAGGTAGGTTGGTCTTGTGATTTAAAATATTGTGATAAGTGAGAAATAAGATCCACGTTCAAATATCTGCCCTTTGATGTGCTGAGTAGCTAATACTGCCTTAGCTTAACATATCAATAGAAAGAAAAAGTGCTTCCTAACCGATTCTTATATAGGTTGTTATACTCTGAAACATAACCGTGGGGGAATGCTGTCTTCACTAAGAAATACATTTTTCCTACACCTTCAAGGACCGAGCTCCTGAAATCCTAACTGAGGCAAAACAAGCCCAGGAGCTAGGATATGTGCACACTGCAGTAGACCAACCTGAGCTAGCTTTGGCCTAGCCAGCTAGAATAACAGTAACAGTGAAGCCATAGCTGCTGGAGTACATACCCATGGTGCTATGGCTTCACTGCTGCTGTAGTCTGAGCTAGCTCTATCATAGAATTATAGACTCGTAGGGACCTCGAGAGGTCATCTACTCCAGTCCCCTGCACTCCCAGGAGCCTGTGCCCTGTGCCGGCAGCTCCTTCAGTGTGGCTGAAGGGCACCAGGCTCGCCAGCAGCTGTCCCTGGTCGCACTAGTCCTGTCCGTGAGCGTGCGAGCCACTTGCACACACTAGCACAACAAGGGACAGCAGTTCCCAGTAAGGCCCTGGTGCTCTGCAGATATCCAATTTATATCTGCATTCGTGGGGGTGGAGCACAGGTGGGGCCTTGGGGAGAGAAGGCCAAGCAGGTGTGGGCCTCAAGGCAGAGCAGGGGGCATGGCCCCCCACTTCTAGGAAGCGTCTGGTGCTTGCACACAGCCTCCCCAAATTCGGGAGTCACACGCCACCCATGCCTGTTCTCAGAGGTTAAGGAGAGCAAATATTTTCCCTCCTTGTAACAACTATTTATGTACTTGAAAACTGTTATCATGTCCCCTCTCAGTATTCTCTTTTCCAGACTAAACAAACCCAATTTTTTCAGTCTTCCCTTATAAGTCACATTTTCTAGACCTTTAATAATTTTTGTTACTCTTCTCTGGACTTTCTCCAATTTGTCCACATCTTTCCTGAAATGTAGCATCCAGAACTGGACACAATACTTCAGTTGAAGCCTACTCAGCACAGAGTAGAGCAGAAGAATTACTTCTCGTGTCTTGCTTACAACATTTCTGCTAATATATCCCAGAATAATACGAAGTGTTACACTGTTGACTCATATTTAGCTTGTGATCCACTATGATCCCCAGATCCCTTTCTGCAGTACTCCTTCCTAGGCAGTTATTTCCAATTTTGTATGTGTGCAACTGATTGTTCCTTCCTAAATGGAGTACTTTGCATTTGTCCTTATTGAATTTCATCCTGTTTACTTCAGACCATTTCTCCAGTTTGTCCAGATCATTTTGAATTTCCATCCTATCCTCCAAAGCCCTTGCAACACCTCCTCAAAGCTGGCCCTATACCAAATGGCCCCCCAGGTGAGGAGCATCTTTGGCATCCCACCCCCTCCATTTCTTAAACTTTTGAATACCTTATTTTTTATTGCATTTGTAGCCCATTTCATGACTTTGATGCATGATTTGCGTGCATGATTTATCCCTGTCACACAAGACGATAAATTTGCACTCTAGGATCTGTAAATCTGTATTTATTCTTGCCATATATAAGCAAATAAAAAAATTTATTTCCTCTAAGCTTATAGAAACTTTTTAATTTTAAGAATAACGGAAATGTACTAACATCAAGAAATGGAACTGTGCCCCAACATTGGCATTAAATAGTGTTATGGTAGGTGACAGCCTTAGAAGAGGTGGGGCCAGAGCACAGCAGCTGCCTAGGAGAGCACTTGGCTGCAGTGGCGGCAGGCTGCTCCTTGCCCAAGCTGGGCTTCCAGGGACAGCGGCCAAGCAAGCTGGTGCCCCCCTGAAGTCCCCAGAAGCCAAGCCTGGGCAGGGAGCAGGTTTCTGCTGTTGCCCCTCCCCAGCCAGGGGTAAGCCAGGCAGCTGCTGCTGCGCACAGCATGCTGGGGGGGAAAGAGTGGGTTCCAGCTCACTCAGCCTGTGTCCTGGAAGCTGAGCCCAGGCAGGGAGCGGGCTGCCGCTACAGCTCCTCCCCAGCCAGGCTGTCTCCCAGACAACTGGCTACGCTGCACAGAGCAGAGACTGGGAGCAGCTCCGTCCCGCTCCTCGCCTGGGCCAGGCTGCCAGGGAGAGCAACTGAACATGCTGGGGGGTCGGAGGGGGAAGCTGGCGCAGCAGGAGGACAGAGCCCCTTCCTCCCCCCCACAGGTAACGTGGGAAAGGGGGGAGGGGGCAGGGACAGTGCAGGGCCCCGGGCTGGGGTTGGGGCAGGGAGGAGACCTCCTTTTTAGCTGGTGCCCCCCCCAATATAGGGAGGCACCAGTCGTCATCGTCGTTCGAAGATAGGTTTTCGAAGCTCAGACTCATTAAAACCTGCACTCATCACTCACAACTGTGATCATCAGCGTGAGCAGAATCCTCAAAGCTATCCATACATTCGGAAAAGTGTCCTTCAGCTCTGCCTCATGAATGAATTGGAGAACTTGGGGTGGAAGGTGCTTCCCATGTTGCAAAATGTGACGGATGTTGTCCAATTCGACACAGAGGTCTTTATCATTGACATCCTAACATTACCCATGTGTCAGCATCCGGTGAAGGTCCACACAATTGTTCAAGAGTGTTTTCCTATCCACCGGTAGCTTACTACGGTCATACAAAAAACCCCAGGTCATTTTGGGAGCTTCATTTGTCCCAACCTTTCTTTGATGGACACTTGAGCAGTGTCAATGAGCTAGCAAAAAAACTCCCTCTTGAATTTTTCTTCCAAGCTTCCCATCATCTCATCTCTGCCCTCATAATCAAACTGTCTCTTCTTCCAATGAGTTTCCTTGAAGACAGGCTCAACGTCTAAGTTTTCCGCCATTTCTCTGGCAGTAGTGAAGGCATCTTCAAATCCGTTGTCTCTGTAGGCCACTGTGAAATCACAGCCGCTTCTCATCAAAGTAGTAGCAATCACGATGTCCACTGACTGAGTTTGTAATCTCTTGCTTACAACATTTACTTGGAACAAGATATCGTGCCAAATCACAACTGAGACCTGAAATTTGAAGTCAGTGATGCGGTTTGCCAGGCTTTATGCCTCGTGTCAGATTCTGGCTTCGGCTTTACTCGATTGTGCCAGTTCCATCGGGGCATTGTAAACCTCAGTCACTGAAGTATCTCACTGGCCAGTTACACTGTCAATGTGCTCTCCCAGCGAGTATCACTGATTTGTAATATTGACTGTGAGGATCTTCCACCTGATAGTTGATGCTGAAAACAGGACGTATATCCTTTGCGGTACTCCGAAGAGAGATACTGAATCTAAAGCAGATGACACTGCATGTGACAGAACCAGGTTGAGGGAATGGCAGCCACAAGACATGAAGAGAGCTCTTGGATTCAGTGCACGGATCCTTGCCTGGACACCACTGTTGCTTCCCTTCATGTTCGCACCATTGTCATAGCCTGGGCCGCGGCAGTCCCGACGCTTTATTTTATTCTCATTCAAAAGGTTCATAAACAGTTCTGTTAGGTCTTTTCCAGTAGAGTCATCCACAGACCAGGAACTGGTCTTCTGCTCGTTTTCCATGTCTATGCATTTATTTAGCTTGAGCCTGGACTTGATCTCCATCTGTTGGGAGTAGGCCGTAAAATGACCTGGTGACTTTTCATGTTGCTTCAGATCATCAGCTAAGTTATGCCAGTAATTGTACCCGGAAAGCGCAAGCAACGATTTAGCATTCTTGTCAAATATTTTGCAACAAAAACAGAACACATTGTCAGTTGATTTCAAGTAGACTAGCCAACACTGAGTCAGTTTCTCACCATTCTTGAGCACTCTTTCACAGTGTTACTTTGAGAAGTGTCGTTTCTGCTCATTTACTGGAAATGTCATATCCTTGATTTTGCCCGGACCATTCAAAATTGTACGATCAGTATCGGCAGAGTTTAGGATCGCTGGCCATAAAACAGGATCTGATTTATCGATTTGTGGTGTGCAATTTTTCTCACTGCTGTTTTTGTCATCATGCAAGGCTGATTCTTCTTTATCATTTCTCTCCTTTTCATGTAAACCAGATTTTTCTTTGTCATCTCTCTCCTTTACACCGCTAGGAAAACTGGACGATTCTTCACCACTTTCCTCACATTCCCATTCCTTATCTTTAAGTAAAACTGCTAATTCCTTAGTAATAGGACTTCCATCATTTACACTTTGCTCCTCAATTTCTTCTGCACTGGAACGATCACTAGTGCTGAAAGCTGGTCTGTGTTGTTCTGTTTCAGATATGTTCCCATCCAATTTGCCCCTTGCTGCAAACTAGATTGCAATTGAGCTTTTCACTTCCTATACTGAGCTCCTGAAGGCTTCTTTGGGGGCATCTTTTATTTTCTATGGGGGAAAACAGACAGTATTAGGGAGAGCAAACCTCTATATTCCACAGTCTTGTTCCGCAGAATGAGGGGTTCAGGGTGCGGGAGGGGGCTCGGGGCTGGGGCAGGGGGTTGGGGTGGGGGGGGGTGAGTGAGGACTCCAGCTGGGAGTGCGGGCTCTGGGATGGGACTGGGGATGAGGGGTTGGGGGTGCAGGAGGGTGCTCCAGGCTGATCGAGGGGTTCAGAGGGCGGGAGAGGGATCAGGGCTGGGGCTGGGGCAGGAGGTTGGGGCCCGGGAGGGGGTCAAGGGTGCAGGCTCTGGGCGGTCCTTACCTCAAGTGGCTCCCGGAAGTCGTCGGCATGTCCCCCCTCCGGTTCTTATGCAGAGGCTCTGCGTGATGCCCCGTCTGCAGGCGCCACGCCCGCAGCGCCCATTGGCTGAAGTTCCTGGCCAAAGGGAACTGTGGGGGTGGTGCTTGGGGCGGGGGCAGCATGCGGAGCCCACTGGCTTCCCCTACATATAGGAGCCAGAGGGGGGACATGCCGGCTGCTTCCCGGGAGACGCATGGCGTGGAGGCTAGCAGGGAGCCTGCCAGCCCCACTGTGTGGTGCTGCCAACCGGACAGACCAGAGCCACCAGGATTCCTTGTCGACCGAGTGTTCCAGTCGAAAACCAGACACCTGGTCACCCTAATTGTGCTAGGCACTGTATATACACATAGTAAGAGACAATCCATGCCCCAAAGAGCTTACAGTCTCAATCGACATGACAGGCAAATGGTGGGAGAAAGGAAGTTTCATTTTCCCTATTACAAATAGGGAACAGACGCCCAGGGAAGTTAAACGACTTGCCCCTTGTCACCAAGAAGCCTGTATCATAGGTGAGACTTGAATCCAGATCTCTCAAGGATCAGTCCAGTACCTTAACCACAAGACCAAGGAACTGGGAGCCAGGACTTTTAGGTCCTGATTCTTCCCTCACACTGGTTTTACACTGGTATAATTCCACTGGTACACAGCACACCTGGAAATTACATTCCAGTACAGGAAGCAGTGATTCACCCCAGGTGAAGGGACAGAGTTAAGTGATGGTGCATTTCAACAACAACAAAACCTTCAAGTCAATTGTCTTTCTCCCACAGATCATCCATAGCAGCGGGACTGCATGGCTATAATGGGGTCCTGGTGGGACTGCTCATAGCAGTATTCTCTGACAAGGGAGACTTCTATTGGTGGCTTCTACTGCCTGTTGCTCTTACATCCACGACATGGTAAGTCGCACACTTTTAGGCTTCTGTGAAAGCCTAAACAGTTCTGTGTCGTAGAATTTAAGGGCAGAAGGGACCACCAGATCATCTAGTCTGACCTCCTGCATATCATAGACCACCAACACCCACCCAACTAAACCCAACAATTGAAATGAGATCAAAATATTACAGTCCCCACAGACTAGACTCCTATGTGCCACAGGCAGAGAATAAGAGGGACTGAGGTGCACCAGTGCTTGGATTCTGATTCCTTCTGTTCCTGAGACATTGGCTGTCATATGTTGTCTTGCATAGATTTTTAAACTAATGAAATCATGCTACTACTACTCCTGGGGGGATTCTGGGCCACTGTGCACATCTAGAATTCATGTCTCCCACAGATTTCTTTGCTTCTCTGCAGAAAAATGACTTTCTGACAGGGAAGCAAAGGGAAGCCACAAGAGCAGTCATGCGCCCCTCCCTAGCAGTGCAGGCAAGTCATTTCAGCCGTCTGGAGCAGCTGGCAGAGAGGTAAATCATGCAGCAGTGCGGGGGTGGGGACGCCCTGGTTGGTGGCTCCTACCCTGCGCTGGGCATAACTCCTCTTCCCCTGCAAGGAGCGGGTAGGGCTGAGTCAGAACCACCCCCAGAAACCTCCTCAGGCTGCTGGAAGCTGCGCACACACACACACACACACACACACACACACACACACACACACACTTCCTGCCCCCATCGCTCCTCAGCCATGGGGACAGGGGTCACTATACAGGGAGCTGCTCCCCTGTCTGCCCAAACCCTATGCATCTGGATCCCCGCCATACCCAGACCTCCTGCCAAGCCTGACTCCCCCCACATCCAGAACCCTCACCACCAACCACCCACCCCACCAAGCCTCACCTCCTCCCTGCACCCAGACCCCCCCGCCAAGCCCCATCTCCCCACCCGGACTCCCCTGATCCCCACCCTCCCTACATCTGGACCCCCACTCCTGCACCCAGACATCCCCCACTGAGCTCCCTGCACTCAAACACCCATCCTGGTGAGCCCCATCCCACCTGCACCTGGACCACCCGGATCCTCACCCCACTGAGCCCCAACCAGCTGCATCCAGACCCGCACCCCACCAAGTCCCACTCCCTCCCTAAATCCCCCACACCCAGACCCCCCTGATGAGCCCCAACCACCTCCCCCTGCAGAGTCCCATTGTCCCCCAATGAGCCCCTGTGCATCCAGATCCGTCCCCCGCACCCAGAACACCCACTGAGCTGCCCACACCCAGATTGCCCTACACAGAGCCCTCTCACCCTACACCTGGATCCCCCCCCCCCCCACTAAACCTCTCCACACTTGGATCCTGCCAGGCTGAGCCTCCCCAGCCACACCTGGTGCACCTGGGTGTGGAGGAGCAGGTGGGTCGGGTGCAGCCTCACCGCCAAGTCCGGGGCCAGGGCCGGGGGCTGCAGGGTGATCTCCCACCTCTGTGCAGCCCGTGGCCTCTGTTCCCCACAGCCATTTTAAAATATGAATTTTGGGGGAGGGATGCAGAATTTTGGGGGAGGGATGCAGAATTTTGGGGGAGGGATGCAGAATTCCCTCCGGAGTATACCACACATGTATTGGCTTCTAAAGCTGTGATTTTTTTACTATCATTTATCTTTATACATTTTAGATTAATCCTTTCTAAAATAAATTCCCAGTTTACATGTAAATTCCACGTTTAACTGAAATTAATTCAATGTCCTAAAGGTTAGCCACATGGCTGTATGTCAGTTGCCCATTGTAATGTGAACAGCAACATTATTTTCACCATTTCCCTGCCCTTGTAAACCACAATGTTTTCATTTATTCTTTTACTTGTATAAATGGGTATTGTAAAAATGTTATAAACATTTACCAGCCCAGGCACAAAACCTACTCACCTGCCCTTAACCATGATGATTGATGATCATGAAAACAACTAATGATATTTTACTGGCCTATCAAACAATGATGTGCCCAGGCAGATTGGCAATCGGTCTTTTGAACTCAGGACATTTTGCTGGAACGGGCTGAAACGCATAGATTCTCTTGTCTGCCTGAAGCTCAGGTGGCGAATTATAACCAATTTTGTTGCTGTAACTCAAATGGTCATAGGCTTTGTCTATTGTTTTAATTATCCAGGGTCCCAACCCATAAGCTTGAATAGACTCCAAGCTTTCTCCCAGCTCAAGGCTTGGCTCTGGTCTGATTTGTGCCCCTCTCTAGCTCTACTAAATTAAGGGCCAGATCCTCAGCTGGTGTAAATCAGCTTCATTGAAGTCAATAAAGCTTCATCAGTTCACACCAACTGAAGATCTGTCCCTAAATATTTTTAGGGTAATGAAAGCAGGGAGGAAATCTGTGTATTGCTGATTGCAATGCACAAGTAGGGATGAGGGACTTGCAAGATAACCTAAAATAAATCTGATTGTATCAGAAGGACCTCTGGAACTCAAACAGTTCCTAACGAAAACCAAAAGGCATGAAGAGTATGCATTTCCTAAATTATTTGTCAGGATAATGGATAGTTTTTGCCTGGCTGAGCGATCTGAGGAATTAATCTTCACAAGCTTCTAATGAGATAATTTTGTTTTTCTCTTTCAGCCCCGTTTTCTCCAGTGCTTTAGGCTCAATCTTCAGTAAGTGGGAGCTTCCTGTTTTCACCTTGCCTTTCAACGCAGCAGTGACATTATACTCTGCGGCCACTGGACACTACAACCTTTTCTTCCCTACAGTCCTCATTAAACCTGCAACATCAGTGCCCAATATCACCTGGTCCAACATTGATGTGCCAAAGGTAAGAGTCACTAAAGAAACATTCCACGCCACTTACACAGTAAGCCAATAAAGAGCCAGGCCCTTTTATTTTACATGACAAAGACAGAGCCCCATAATACAATTCTGTATTTACATGGTAACAAGTAACCGATATGTGATACTTTACTATGGCAACTGTCTGTTTTGGTGACTTCAATTTTAGAGTTTCCAAGTATCTTAAGCATACAACTGAACCTAAATACATGTTATAATCCTCAGTGAATCTCTCTGGATTCTCATAATCCATTACCATGGAGACACTGGTCATGGCTCCATAGTTCTATTCAAATTTTCATATAATGCTGGGATTACACCTTTGTATCACACATGATTAATATAGTCTATTAAGTTTTTTTAAAATCACCTTTCTGTTAAGAAATTGGCACAGACACTATCATGATGGGATCATTAGAAACTCATGTACAGGCAGACATGCAGATTTTTTTATAGCCAATATTTATGCTGGACCTACACAAAAACAAACTTTTATACTCTAGTGGTCCCTCTACTATTAACCAACCAGTGCTATTTCCAAAGTTGTGCTGCTATCATTAATTAATGCCAATGTATAAAAAAAGCTTATAGAAATGGGTATTTCCATTTTAAACTTGTTAAGACAGATCGGAAAAGGAAATCAACCTTTGCCAAGTGGAGAACAACAAAGAAAAAAAAACCCAATGATAATAGATGTTATTTATAAGCTTCTATCAAGAATTTTAAATATATGTAGAGCAATAAAACAAAGTACAACTCCACAGGGCACATCATCAAAGAGAGCCATAGAACCAAGTCAAAACTGAAAATTACCATATATACTCGTTCATAAGCCAAATATTTTTGGTAAAAAAGTGCCTCGTCAAAGAGCGGGGGTTGGCTTATAAACGGTCTACACCAAAATTTGATGATTTTAAACTCTATGGAATCATTGAATTGAATATCTAATACATTGTCGTTTTGTTTACCTGGAGCGTCTGCAGGCATGGAGCCCCTCAGCTCCCTGTGGCCGCGGTTCGCCGTTCCCAGCCAATGGGACCTGCGGGAAGTTCCCACTGGCTGGGAACAGGAAACCGCAGGCACTGGGAGCTGAAGGGCTCCATGCCTGTGAACGCCTCAGGTAAACAAAACATCCAGGCCCGCTAGAGGCTTACCCTAATGGCCCAGGAGCCAAAGTTTGCCAACCCCTGAAATATAGGGTCGGCTTATGAAAGGGTCATACAGTTTTTGCTATTTTTACCTAACCATCTTGGGGGGTCGGCTTATAAACGAACGGGCTAATGAACGAGTATATACA